TCCCTCCTTAACTTCTGATCTTAAAGGTTGTTGTTTTTGGTGAGGAAACCAAAAGGGTCCTTGAGATGAATTAGGACTGGGACTGCTATTCATGCCTATCCCATGGTATGACCATCCATACACACTGTGGTTCTACTTCTTCCTTTATCAGGGGCAAGCAGAAGTACTCCCCTGGGGGTAAAAGGAGCTGTACCCTCAATTTAGATAGAAGGTCTTGCCTTAACAGAGAAGTAGGGGTTTCTGGGATGATTAAAAGGGATTGACAGAAGTGGAAATCTCCCCAGGAGCAGACTAGAGGCTGAGTGAAATAATGCTCTAGGGGCTGACCTGATATGCCCAAACAGTAATTTTCTTGGAGGACCTGGGTCTGGGAGAGAAAGGAATAGCTGAAATGCTGGCTCCATTATCGAAAAGGAGGTTATCTTGCACTTTTTAAAAGTAAGTATCACCCAGGGCTCCTCTGATTTTATGGTGGTCACAGGAGCCTGGATAGGAGGCCCCAGGACCTGTCATTGGGTGGGTGGCTCTGGCCTCAGTTTCCCTGGGAACCGAGGACAAGTGCCTTCCAATGATTTCCCCAGCAAATGGGGCAGGGTCCTGGAGGTGGCTTCCTCCAGAGGTACTCCCTCCAAAATGGCCTGCCTGTCCACATTGAAAACATGTCCTCAGGTTTAGACTCTGCCCTGGGGGAACCTCTCTGAGCCCTGTGATCAGAGCTTCCTGCCATTTATCCTTTCTCTTTTTCTTCTCCAGTTTTTTTTTCTTTTTTTAAGTCCCTATTATAGTATATGGATGTGATTACATGGACCAATTGGTCTAGATCTCTGTTCCCTTCAGCTACCAGTTTCTGAAGATTTCTGCAAATATCTGGGGCTGACTGTGTTAGAAATTTATATTTTAGGGTGATATCCTCCTCCTGTGACTCCAGTACAATGTTGGTATGCTTTTGTAAAGTATCTTTAAGTCTCTGTAGGAAAGCTACTAGGGTTTCTAAGGGTCCTTGCTGTACAGCCATGAGTTGGGAGTAATTAAGGGGCTTTATCTTGGCTCTCTTTAGACCTTCAAGAATGCAGTGGATGAAGTGGTTATGAGTCTATTTATCCTTGTCATTTTTGGGTCCCACTTAGGATCATACCTAGGCATTGCCTGATCTCCTATGGGAACTGGGAATCAGGATTCCCTTTAAGGTATTCAGTGTCTCTGTCTTTCTTCCCCCTCCCTCTCCTCCTCCTCTAAGGGCCTGGTCTGAGATAGTCTGGAGGGCCACATTTATCTAAGGTATAATCATCCTAGCTGCAGCTGCCTGATCTAGTACTTACTGTTTCTCCAGTGAAGTAAGACTTGATTTCTGTCACAGGGGAGGCCCCATTTGACATTGTTGGGGGCCCTTGGGCATTAGATTTTTTTAGGTTCTGGTTCCTCAGTGGAGTTTGGGGCTTTTTGTAAAGGGTCACCATGGTCTGGATATCTAGCCTGCATTTGCTCAGCCATTTTGGGTGGTTTCTTAGGAAAAAGAAAAGTTGAATATATGGGCCTTCAGTCCACTTTCCCTCCTTTCTACAGAACATATCTAATTGAAGAATGGTATTATAATTAATGTTCCCTACTTATGGCCATTTTCCCCATCTCCCAGACTATTGTGGCCAGGCCTGGGTGCAGTAAAACCTGAGTTGCTATCATTGAAGATTTTTTGGTTCAAGGTCTTTGCAATATTTTAGTAAGCAGGCAAAGGAGGATCCTTCCAGGATCCTGGAAGCTTTATTCCACATCTAAAAAGGGAAGCAAGGAAAAATTGATCATTTTAACAGAGGTTTTCTCATTTTACCTAGGCGTCCCCAGGTGAGGAGCTCCTTTACATGGGAGAGGGCATCTCTTTCTCCCATGCTCTCCCACCACTGGCCACCTGTAGCTAAGGTCTTGGGGAAGACATTTAGGTACTTCTGGCTGCTGCCATCCTGATGGAGTATCCCTGATCAATTTTTTTGCCTATTTGCCTTGTGACCCAAGTACTTGGTTCTCCTCTACCAGCTCAAGGCTTGTAGTTTAAAAACAATTCTATCAATGAGGGACTTTAAAGTAACCAAGAGAGCTTGTATGGCCCTGTGGAGGCATGGACAGGGACTCTTGATGAGGTAGACATTTGTCCCCCTGTTTATCCTGTGAGACATATATATTTTCTATAAGAGAGGGAGCATCTGAAGGCCTTGGTTTGTTTGTTTGTTTTGTTTTTTTGCTGCAGTAAGGAACAAAAATGGTAGCCCATTGAGGTCTCTTATCTCCTTAACTTTTTCTCCCTTGAAGGCAGACTATGGGAACCTGCTTAACCAGATCAACCAGATGCCTAACAAAAACAGTTAAGCCCAAGTTAAAGAGTAGTACTTTTTGGTGTACTCAACTGAAATAGGGGTTGTAGAAGAGACACAGGAGCACTTGAGGACATATTCTAAGGATTAGGTTTTGAGGAGGGATGTAAGGATCTCTTCTAGACTCAACTGAAGAAGGAAGCCATTGCCGTTTAGGACAAAGTGGGAGGCCACTCATCCTGATCTAGTTGGGAAAGGAGAAACTGAGGACTGGGGGAAAGGAGAGTTTCCAGGCTCAATACATGAGGGATTATTAGTCATCACTGCTATCCAGGTCAATCCCACCAGAGGCAGTACTGGAGCACTGGAAGCAAGGGGTGACCTCCACTTTTGGGCCACGGGAACTGTGAAGAAAGTGTAGAAATCTGATTGTCTGTTTGCTGCGGACATGGCTGGAGGGGTTCCAATACTTACCATCTTTTAAGCCTCAAGTGGACCAGGAAGTTGCATCTTTAGCCTTTGAGTCTCACCAAGGAGTCACCCTGGCCAGACTATGCTTATAGCTTGAAGAGAAACTTTCTTTTCCACTGGCTGTTTTCAGACCTCCTCTTTAGCAGGTCAGATCTGAAAGGGAGAGAGTTTAAGGAGGGAGGGGGCCAAGAGTTGAGAGGAAAAAAGCCTTGGTGCACTGAAGTTTTAGCTCCACCCCCATAGTATTGGCAGTCTGGTATAAGCTCCTGGATAGCCCCTGATTTCTTAGGTTGCCTGCCTTAACAGCTATACAGGGCTTGGAGCTTTTTCCCCAGGTTCTGAGGGAGAAATCCTCCTTAGCAAGAGAGAGAGAGAGAGAAAGTCAGCCTGAGAGATCCACCTTAGCTAATCCGTTGTGGGGAGGGGGGCTCTCCTAGAGGACAGAATCCATTGGCATGCCGGACAATCATGGCGACTTCCTAGGCAGTCCTCTCCAGTTTGGCACAACCTGTACTGACCTCAGGTGAAGAAGTGTCCCTTCGTGGTTGCCAGATATACACAGATGAGATGCAGGAATTTTTGGGTGTTGAGCGTCCTTGGGTCCATTCTGAGATTGAAAGCAGAGACAGACTTGAGCAGCAGAGGTCATAAAGATTTTATTGTAGAGAAAGGCTGATGGGGGCATGCAGCAGGACCTGGAAACCGGTGGTTCCCTGGGTCAGGTTGAAAATTGGGTTGTATAGCCTTTTTAGTATTGCCCAAGGGTGGAGATGTCTATCAGGTGCAAACAGATGTTTCCTGGGAAGGAGAAGTGTCTCCATGGCCAATTACCACCTTTTGGGACCACCTGCAGTCTGCCCTTCAATAGCATATGGTATTTCTAATATTTATATATTACATATAGAGAGAGAGTGCTGTTACTACTATATAATATTAGTAGACTTTTATGCTGTAGCTAACATAGTCAGTTTCTTTTTGTTGAGAATTTGTCTCATGTAACAATATGTACTGAAAGCTGCTGAATAATGGGAGGTGGGAAGGAAGAGGCAAGGGAAAGTAACAGATGGGTTGAGCAGTATATCCACAGCTGAGATACATCAAGAAACTCCTTTTAACATTGACTTTGAATTTAAAAATGAAAGAACTGTAAAATAGGTACAGTTGGGGAGGAGTACTTGTGAGAGTAGGGAGGGTGAATGGAGGAGATGAAGGTGAGGGAATTTGGTTGATAGGCCTCACATACATATATGAAATAGAATGATGAAACATCTTGTAGTTGCTTTAAGTGGAGCTTGGGGAACGGAGGGAATGGTGGGGGCAATCTAAGCAATGTATGATATAAGGCCTTTCAGAATTGCCACAATGAATTGCCCCCATACAATGAATATATCCTAATAAAAACAAAAACAAGAAAATAGAACAATGAAACCTGTTGAAATTGCTCTATGAGGGTGGGAGGGTTGGGGTGAGGGAGAATGATGAAGAGAATAAATATAATTCAGGTACTTTGTTAGCATATATATAAATGCCACAATGAAATCCCCCTATGAAACTAATATATGCTAATAAAAATGTAAAAAAAAAGTAAAGAGCAAAGTTAAAGGCTTAAAAAAACAAAATTGTCTCCTATTTATTGAACAGGTATCTTTGAATACAGTTTACCACTTTGGAGTAAAGTTTTAAGAATGTGTTATAAATAGAATAAATGAGTCAAGAGATTTAAGCGATTTGATAGTTGCTTTTTTGCATATTAGCAAATATTGCCCTATAAAATCTAGAATGGTTGCCACCAGCAAAACACAAATATTATGTATTGTTAATATTTAAATTATTTTAGTGCAAATGTCAAATATCCCAAACTTTCCTTTTCATAACTTCTACACAGTACCTACTGTGGTTCACAAATGTGGTAACTATCTGCTTATAATGCTGATATGTTGGAATATAATAAATCACTTGAATGTTTTGTTTACCAATATACTCCATACCCATTATAGAAAGTTAGTATATGTAAGCAAAAGAAAAAGAAAATTTAAAAGGAACTAATTGCATCATTCTGATGGAACTTTGGTTATATTTCTGAACTAATCCTCTGCAGAATTACAGGAGATAGCAATTCTTAGTAATCCAGAAGACTATTATGAATTTGAGGTTCTACTTTGCAATGTGTTAATCATATTATCTCACCAAATCTTAGCTTATTCCATGTCTTCTGCATAATTCCAGGTCGTTATCCTCCTACCAGAGGAGAGGCCTATATTAATGGATATGACATTTCAAATAACATGATTGAGATTCGAAAACACTTAGGCTTCTGCCCTCAGCATGACATATTATTTGATGAGTTGACTCTATCAGAACACCTCTTTTTCTACTCGGTGGTGAGTCAGAGATAAATTCCATAAAATTAAAAAGTAAATTTGACTTTTTTTGATGTACAAAGTAGATTTAACTATTACATAAAAACATAAAACTGCACATATTTTTCCATGTGATGTTTTGATACAGATATATGTTGTGAAATGTTGCAATCAGCTCAGACATTTATGTCCTCATTTGTCATTTCTTTATGGTGAAAATATAATACTTTCTTCTAGCCTTTTAATATATACAGTACATTTTCATATCTGTAGTTAACAATTGCATAATAGCACAATAGAACTTCCTATTTCTATCTAACTATAACTTAGTACCAACTGAGCAATCCCTCCCTATCCTCTTCTGAATCTGTTCTCCTCAGCTTCTGGTAACCCCTATTGTACTCTCAACTTCTGTGAAATTGACTTTTTTTTTTAATAAAACAAAAAAGAATTACATCCATTTAATCCACATTATGTTGGTTATACTACTTTTCTAAAACAACTACTTACAGCACTAATTGTTTGAAAATATAACAAAATGCCACAAAATATGATATAATTAAAGATTACTTAACTAGTGCTGAATCTTGTCCTAATACCTTTTCATTTATTAACACATATTCCTTGCAATACCAGTTGAGAAAATTGAGGCACAGTGTTAAATACTATATTTAGGATTTATATCTAGAATTATTTAAGTGTTTTAGTGATTATGTAAATGATTTTTAAATTTTTTATTCATGTATTCACACGTGCAAAAATTGTTTGGGCCATTCGTACCCTTGCCCACCCACCCCCTATCCTCCCCCACCATCCTCCCTTGCTTCCAGGTAGAACCTGTTCTGCCCTTATATCTAATTTTGTTGAAGAGAAGACATAGAAATAATAAGACAGACAAAGTGGTTTTGCTAGTTGAGATAATAATAGCTATGCAGAGATATTCCTAGCATTGCTTCCATGTACAAATGTGTTAGAACCCAAGTTGATTCATCTCTAACTGACCTTTTCACTAGTTCCTGATCCCCTTCTCATATTGACCTTTATCACTTTAATGTTTCTGTATTAGTTTCTCTGCAGTGAGGACATCAAATACTTTACTCTTTTGGGTTTCCTACCTATCCTCATACCTCCCGTACGTGCTCTCCCTTAACATGTGACCCAAGTCCTACAACATTGCTGTATTTGCCCTAGATCTAAAGTCCACATATGAAGAAGAACATGCAATTTTTGTTCTTCTGAGCCTGGCTAACCTCACGCAGAATGATGTTTTCCAGTTCCATCTATTTACTTGCAAATGACAAGATTTCATTCTTCTTCATGGCTGAGTAAAATTCCATTGTGTATAAATACCACATTTCCTTAATCCATTTGTCACTAGTGGGGCATCTTGGCTGTTTCCATAACTTGGCTATTGTGAATAGTGCTGCAATAAACATGGGTGTGCAAGTGCCTTTGGAGTAACCTGTGTTGCATTCCTTTGGTTATATCCCGAAGAGTGGTACTGCTGGATCATATGGCATATTGTGTTACAAATCTATTCAGGTGATTAATGTTCTCTTGGTTCAATTTTGGATGGTCATTAGTATCTAGATATCTGTCCATTTCTTCAAGATTTTCAAATTTATTAGAATATAGGTTCTCAAAGTAGTCTCTGATGGTTTCCTGGATTTCTGTGATGTTTGTTGTTATCTCCCTTTTTGCATTTTGATTTTATGGATTTGGGTTTTTTCTCTCCTCATTTTAGTGAAGTTTTCCAGGGGTCTGTCAACCTTATTTATTCTTTCAAAGAACCAGCTTTTGGTTTCATTGATCCTTTGTATGGCTTTTTTTTTTTTTGATTGTTTGTTTCTATTTCATTGATTTTGGCCCTTATTTTTATTATTTCTCTCCTACTGCTTGTTTTGGGATTTGAGATGTAACATTAGGTAAATGATTTGAGATCTTTCTGTCCTTTTAATATATGCACTCATGGCTATAAACTTTCCTCTTAGGCCTGCCTTTGCTGTGTCCCATAGGTTCTGGTAGATCTTGTTTTCATTTTCATTAACTTCCCGGAACCTTTTAATTTCCTTTTATTTCATCAATGGCCCATTGATCATTAAGCAATGTGTTGTTCAGCTTCCAATTGTTTGCATGTTTTTTACTGTTGTTTTTGTTGTTGAGTTCTATTTTTAATGCATTGTGGTCAGATAGAATGCATGGTATTATTTCTATTTTCTTATATTTCCTGATGCTTGCTTTGTGTCCTGTGTTATGATCAGTTTTGGAGGGGGTTCCACGGGCTGCTAGGAAGAATATATATTGTGTTGAAGTTGAATGAAATTTTCTGTAGACATCAGCTAGGTCTATTTGATGTATGGTGTGATTTAGTTATAGAATTTCTTTATTGATTTTTGTTTGGATAACCTATGTATTTGTGATGGGGGTATTAAAGTCTCCCACTACCACAGTGTTGGAGTCTATATATGTTTTCAGGTCCTTCAGAGTATGTTTGATGAAATTGGGTGCACTGATGTTGGGTATTTTTTCCCTTTGGTGTATTTCACCTTTTATTAGTATGGAGTGTCCTTTATCTTGTTTGATCAGTATAAGTTTGAAGTCTGTTTTGTCTGAGATAAGTATTGTTACTCCTGCCTGTTTTCAGGGGCTGTTAGGTTGGTAAATATTCTTCCAGCATTTCACCCTAAGCCAGTGCTTGTTTCTGTCAATGACATGGGTCTCCTGTAAGCAACAGATTGTTGGATCTTCCTTTTTAATCCAGTTTGCCAAACGGTGTCTTTTGATGGGGGAGTTAAGTCTGTTCACATTCAGTGTTACTATTGATAGGTATATGGTGATTCCTGTCATTTAGTTGTTTTTGTTGTTTAAGGGTTTCATTTTGTGCAGCTGAATCAATGCTACTCTCTACTCTCTTGTCTTTTCTTCTCCTGTGGTTTGGTACTGCCTGTCCTCTCATGGTTTTATTTGCTTTCATTTTCTGTGTGCAGAATTCCTTGAAGAATCTTTTGTAGTGGTGGCTTGGTGGTCATATATTGTTTTAGTTTCTGCTTATCATGGAAGACTTTTATTGCTCCATCTATTTTGAATGATAGTTTGCTGGGTAGAGTATCCTAGGGTTGAAGTTATTTTCATTCAGTGCCTGGTATACCTCAGTCCATGCTCTTCTTGCTTTTATGGTTCCATTGAGAAATCTGCTGTAATTTTGATGGTTTACCTTTGTACAATATTTGTTTTTTCTCTCTTAGAGCCTTTAATATTCTTTCTCTAATCTCTGTGCTTGTTATTTTAATGATAATATGTCATGGGGTAGTTCTATTTTAGTCAAGTCTGTTTGGTATTCTCGAGACTTCCTGTACCTGAATGGGTGTAGTTTTCTCTAGATTTGGGAAATTTTCTGTTATTATTTTGTTGAATATATTATGAATTCCTTTTCCTTGCACCTCTTCTTCTTCAATGCCCATGAATCTCAGGTTTGGTCTTTTGATGGAGTCAGTGAGTTCTTGCATATTCCTTTCATAGGACTTGAGTTGTTTGACTAATAGCTCTTCAGTTTTTCCTTTAATTTCCATTTTTTCTCCCAGTTCTGAGAGTCTGACTTCCACTTGTTCTAGTCTGCTGCAGTGGCCTTCCGTTGTGTTTTCTGTTTTTGTTTCATTATTTTTTCTCAGGTTTTCATGTCATGGATCACTTCCTCTTTTAATATTGTCTATTTTTGTCTTTCATTCATTTATCTCCCTATTTATAATGATCTCTGTTTCACTTTGGTGTTTATTTAGGGCTCCTATGATGTCATTTATTTGTTCCTGTGTCTTCTCATATTCTTTATTTTTGGTGTCTTGAAATTTCTTGAGTGCCTCTTGGACATTTTGCTTAACCATGTCTAGTATTGTCTCCATGAAATTCTCAGTGATTACTTTCAGGATATCTTCTTTAAGAGTATTCTTTTGGACATCGTTGGGTTCCTTCATGTCATTTATCTTTGTTTTGTTGGAGTCCAGAACCGGGTATCCATTTTCTTCATTTCCCTCTGAATCCTGAACTAAATTATTTTGGCCGGGGGGAGTGGTTTCCATCCCTTTTTCTTCTTCCCATCGTTCCTGCTGCTATTGTGTAACTGTTCTTGATAGACTAGTTTGTGGTTTCAATCACCTGTTTTCTTTTCCTTGGTTAAATTTTTTTAGTGGCTGTATTAGATTTTTAGCTGTTTGTGTGTGTGCTGCTTCTGTCCCTGGTTTGTGTGTAATTTACTATTAATTCACGGTGATAAAACAAACAAAAAACAGCAAAATAAACAAACAAACAAAAAAAAACAACCCAAAAAAAACAACCAATCAACCAAACAAACAAAAAACTGAAAGAAACTAATGGGGGGAGATGAGCAAATGAACAAGAAACAAACAAAAACTCCTGGTTCAGGATCAATTGAATTTCAGTCTGCGTTTAAGTTCTGGTGTTACTCCTTCAGTATCCAGTCCTGGTGTTTGTATTTAAGTAGATGCTCTTAGTCTTCCCAGGTGGTTGGCCTATCGGTAGTTTTTTGGGTTTTTTTTTTTCCTTCTGTCTTTCAGCAGCTGCTGCTTGGTCAGCTTCTCCCGCAGTGAGGTGTGGCAGCTCTGCAGTCCACTAGTTGTCCTCCTTTGGAGTTGGCTTATCTCTGTGCTTGTTTACTAGGGGCTTGTGTCTTTGCCTCACCCCCTTTCCCTGGGGCTAGGGCAAGGTCAATGATCGTTAGCTAACTGCCACTGTCAGCGTGCTGTGATGGCTCGCTGTTTGTTCCTCAAGGCTGCAGAGCTGTCTGACAGTGGATGCCCAGGGTATGAGCCCTGTAGTCTGCCACCTTTGTTCCTTCCCTACTTCAGGAAGAGGCCTATCACCCACCTGCTGACAGCCCTCCTGCCATTTGTTTACTAATGGTTTGTGGGAGTTTGGCTCCTTGCCCCTTCCCCCTTCTCTGGTGCACTTTTAGCAACCCCTGCCTCCTCCACTGTGCGCTAGTTTTCAGTTCCATTGTTTATTCATTC